TTGTCAGCAGGGTTATAGCTACTCTTTTGATGCTTTTCTTCTGACTTAGAAAAAGGCACTCCTTTGTGGAAGACTCAAGCCCACGAGGGCAAAGCTTGGCAAGTGACCAACCCTGTCAGCTGGGTGCTCTGTATAGGGCACAGCCTGCTCAGCCATACATGCTAGAGCTGGCCATCAATTCTTCCTTCGATGCTATTATGAGTTCTCATATTTTTCTGATTTTTTATTAGACATTTAATTTAGAGTCTGAAACACAAACAGCTAGTCCAGATGTCATCCTAAATCGGAAGTCAACCAGATTCTATTAATAGTGATACTTCACATCAAAGATTTGACTGAGATCATTGATGCATACCTGACATTCCAAGTTGTAGTAAGTGTTTATACTGGCAGCTTTCTGCGTCTTAAGATTTATATTCAGAACTCTCAATAAAATATTAAGCAGTTTTGAAAATAGAACCTAAAATATTTTTAATGAGCCTGTAGTTCTCATTTACATCCCCTTCTAACTCATAGTACTGCTTGCTAACCTAAGGTATATAAATATGAGTAAAGGAAAATTGAAGTGAAATTATGTCATTCTTTTAAAGGACTAATAAATAAATGTTTCAACTTAATTCCTAACCTTAGTAAAACATACTGTATGTCAATTCTAAAAAAATGTATCATCATTATAGAGAAAGGAAAATGTTTGACATTATCTTAGCCTAAACTTCATGTATTTACACCAGTATTCATCCATGTTTCACACACTGGATAAATGTGAAGCCATTTCTCTTTATGAGTACAACATCATGAAATTGAAATGAGAGAAAAGTATATACTTAAGAAATGTGTATGCTTAATTTTTTATTCCTTATTCAAAGCTTTTAACATCCACATTCAAAATGTTTATGCATTTAGTTTTTGTTTCTGAGTGTATTATTAAATTCCACTATTTCAATCAGAAATCATCAAAGCACCTCTCTCAATTTGCTTAAAACTTGGGTGAGTTGGACTTAGACTTTATTAAAAAAAAAATTCTGCTCTGCAAAAGACACTGTCAAGAATGAAAAGATTACCCACAAACTGGAAGAAAATATTTGCAAAAGATACATCTGATAAAGGACTGTTAGCCAAAATACTCAAAGAACTCTTAAATCTCAGTAACAAGAAATCAAAGAACCCAAATTTAAGTGGACTAAAGACCTTAACAGATATCTCACCAGAGCATATATATAGATGGCAAATAATCACATGAAAAGATGCTCCACAGTATATGTCATCAGGGAAGTGAAAATTAAAACAATGAAACATGCCTGTTAGAATGGTCAAAATCTACAACATTGACAACACCAAATGCTGGCAAGAATGTGGAGCCACAGGAACTCTCATTCATTGCTAATGGGCATACAAAATGGTACAGTCACTTAAGAAGATAACAGCTTCTTTCAAACCTAAACATACTATATATATATATATATATATATATATATATATATATTTACCCAAAGGAGTTGCAAACTTATGACCATGCAAAAACCTGCACATTAATGTTATAGCAGCTTTATTTATAATTGCTAAAAAACTGGAATCAACCAAGATGTCCCTCAGGAGATGAATGGATAAACTGTGGTCCATCCAGACAATATAATAATATTCAGTGCTAAAAAGAAATAAGCGACCAAGCCATAAAAAGACCTGGAGGAAACTGAAATGTATAATACTAAGTGAAAAAAGTCACTCTGAAAAGTCTACATACTACATGACTTTTTGGAAAAGGCAAAACTATGGAGACAGTAAAAAGATCAGTGGTTACCAGGCATTGAGAGTGAGAGGGATGAATAGGTAAAGCACAGAAGATTTTGGAGAAGTAGTGAAACTAGTCTAGTATAGTATGATACTACAATGATGGATACATGTCATTATATATCTGTCCAAACTCATAGAATGTACACACCAAAGATGAACTCTAAAGTAAACTATGGACTTTAGAGACAATGTTATGTTCATGTAGATTTAGTAGTTGTGACAAAGGTACCACTCTGGTGGGAGATGTTGATAATGGAAGAGGTTTCTGCCTATGTTGGGACAGGGAATATATGGGAAGTCTCTGTACTTCCCACTCAATTTTGCTGTAAACCTAAAACTGCTATAAAAAAATAAATTCTTAAAGAAAACAGTACTTTAATGTCATACTTAACTCACTTATTACAAGAAACTATTCAACTGATTACAACATTATATACGAGAAGTATCTATTTATTTAAACAGTTACTGCAATATGTTTTGGCTTTGACTTTTAAAAGTAAGCCCAATATTTAAAAATGTACTATAACTTGGTAGATTTTCAAATCCTTGGATTTTTTAAAAAAGATTTTATTTATTTATCTATTCATAAGAGACACACAGAGAGACAAAGACACAGGCAGAGGGAGAAGCAGGCTCCATGCAAGGAGCTCGATGTGGGACTCCAACCCGGGAATTCGGAATCACGCCCTGAGCCGAAGGCTTATACTTGTCCCTTGAGTTTTCTCTTTCTTTCTTTCTTTCTTTCTTTCTTTCTTTCTTTCTTTCTTTCTTTCTTTCAGGTTTTATTTTTTTATTTATTCATGAGAGACATACAGAGAGAGGCAGAGACACAAGCAGAGGAAGAAGCAGGCTCCACTTAGGGAGCCCGACATGGGACTCGATCCCGGGCCTCCAAGATCATGGTCTGGGCTGAAGGGGGCGCTAAACCGCTGAACCACCTGGGCTGCCCTAAATCCTTGGATTTACAGGCCTAAGGGAAGAAGTACAAACATCCATGGTTCAGAAGTGTAAGGAAAAAGTGTGGCAACCAGAACCTGATCCTCCTGCTCTAACAGAGAAAAAAATACAATTCCAGAAAGAGCAAAATGCTGGGCTCCCCTGAGAAGATAGCAGCTTCTAAATTATATGGGACTATATGACTCTCGGTAGAAAAAAGGGAGCCTAAGAATTCCAGAGCTAGGCTTGAATCTTTCAGGATGAAGAAAGAATCATTGGCTGAAGACTTATTCAGACATGGCTTGGCCAAGATCACCAGGAAAAGAAAGTCCTCAACTTTAGAAATTTTGTCAAGTCTGTGGATATGAAGCTATGATATAAAGCTGTGGATATAAAGTCTGTGGATATAAAGCTATCTAGTACACGCTGTGCCTGATAACAACAGACAGCATTCAAGGTCATTTTAATCTGGGCTATCAAACTATTACTTCAATGTCCTTAGTACGCTTGTGCTTGGTGATGAGGTCTTTTTCAAACACCATCATCCCATGTCAGATATGTGCAAAAGCGGTGAGATTTTTAAAATATTTTTAAGTTAAATAAGTAAAATAGCTCATTCCTAAAGCTTCTGAGAGTGCTACATGCATTCAGCCAGATGTAATCATGCTTCAGTCAACGTTGAAAGTTCTAGACTTCAGGGCTCTCAGGAAGCTTCCACATGTGCAGTGGATTTGACTGTTCTGTGTTAGTCCAAGGAATCCAAGGGCAGATCTTGATGTGCCAAAGAGCCAGCCTGACATGAGCGACTCTGGACAATACCTTTCATTTGAAGAGCATTCTAAAATTTGCCATGTGCTTTTGTTTACATTATTGGATTGATCCTCACAATCATTCATCCTGTGAAGTAGGTTATCACTGTCTCCAATTGTCAGATAAAAAGTTAAGGTTCATTAGGTTAAGGAACCTGGCTGAGCCAGTAGGTATCAGAGCTAAACCTGAGAGTTCAAACACTTCTAAAGGTATCTAAAATTTCTATCTTGGAGAATACTGAAGCTTGGCTAGGAAATGGAATGATGGGGAAGTTTTAGTTCATGAGAATTTTCTGTAAAGGTCTACTTGTCTTTAGCAACCATCCAACTTTAAGAAGTACATTTAGTGAAAGGTGTTACAGCTGGGGAAAACCAAATGAGTGTGTGTGTGTGTGTGTGTGTGTGTGTGTGTTTGGGGCCGGTTGTGTAGTGCGTCTCCCTGTGGGCTTTAATCACCTTAATCACAGTCACTGAGGATCCGACAAAAAGGCAGGTTCCAGGCTTCACCCCAGTGGCTCTGAACTCTAAGATCTGTAGGGGTGGACCGGTAAATCCACATCTTTAACAAGGGTCTCAGATGATTCTTCTTCGCGCTAACTCCCAGGGAGGGTCATGTTAGACCCGGCTATTTTCTATTTAGCAAAAATCTAGCCAAGGCCCTCAGGTGACCTTTAACCTTGACCTTGATGACTGTCTGGGGCTGTCCTTTGCCCCGAGAGGCGGGGCGGGGCCGGGCCTGGGCGGGGCCTGGGCGGGGCCGGGCGCGGTGGGCGGGGCGAGGTGGGGTGGGCCGGGAGGGGTCCGGCCTGGCCTGGCGCGGTGGAGGGCGAAGGGTTAAAAGCTCCGCGCGCAGGCGCTGCCCTCTGAACTGGAACGGAAAGCAACTTCCGGTCGCCTCCCTCGGCCGGCGCCGCGGCTCCGGGGCGTGAGGGACGGGCGCGGGCTCCCTGAACTGTGAGTAGGAAAGTCCGCGGAGGAGCTGGTCTGTGTGGGAAGCCGTGGAGCGCGGCGGCGGGGAGGCTGCGCGGGGGAGCGAGGGCGGCGCGGGGCCGCAGGGTGGGCAGCCGAGGAGCTGCGGGGACGACGGGTCCTGAGCGCGGAGGGACGCTGTGCAGGGGCAGCGCCCGGGTGACCCGGGAGGGGCTTTCCGGGCCCGCCGCCCGCCGCCCAGAGGGGACGCGGGGCTTGCGACGGCACGGAGAGCCGCCGGCCCCGGCCCCTGCCCCGGCCCCTGCCCCTGCCCCTGCCCCGGGGTCCAGGCTCCCCGCGGGGCAGGGTTGTCTTCCGGGAAGCTGTTCTTTCGAAAACTTTGAAGTGGGTCTTTCTGTCCTTCCCAGGGCGGTTGCCCAATTCTCCGCTTTCCTGTGCGCTGTCGTCACGGCCGTGTCGGGGACGAGTGGGGTAACTTCCCCGGGCTCGCGGAGAGGGCCGGCCTTACCCGGGGCCCCCGGCGGCAGGTAGGGTCTCGGCCGCGGCCGCAACCGCAACCGACGAGCCGCGTCGGGCGGGCAGGAAGGTCGCGCGAAGCTACCCGGCCCTCGGGGTGGGCGTGTCCGCGTCACGCCGTGCGTGAGCAGCCGAAGCGCCCCGGCCCGGCCGGCCCGTGCGGCCCGCGTCTCTGGCCCCGAGGGGCTGCGGGAGCTACGCAAGTGAGGTGCCCTGAAGGTGGACGAGAATGCCGCGATCTTGCTCCTTCCCGACGTGGAATTCACACGTGTCAAACGAGGGTAGCAGAGGAGCAAGCGCCGTATTCGGCTGAAAAAGTACTGCTTCACCGTCTGGGAGGCGAGGAAGACCCCGAAATGACAGCGCCGTGTGTAAAGCCAACAGTTTGTAAAGAAAAGGAAACTTTTCTTCTCAGTTCTCCACCCAGTTGCGGCGCTCCAAGACCTTGCACCCCTCGCATGTGCGTGCACGTGTTACTTCGTTTCCCTGGGAAAGCGAGAGTATACGTGCCTACTACTCTGTTCTCTGCGTTTGCAGACAAAAAATATATGCATATGTGGTAGAAGTCTTGCCATACATAGCTCTGCTCTGCCTTCGTGTCCGCGTGGGATTGTCTACAGGATGCGCTGTAACGTAATGGCCATCTCTTACTTTGTCCATGATTCTTCAAAATTATGTACATTTTATTAGCGTACAGATATAGTAATTCTTTGTGAAATATGTGGCCGATATTTTCAAGAACTGTCAGCCTTTTTTTTTTTTTTTTAAGATTTTGTTTTTATTTACTCATGAGAGAGACACAGAGAGGCAGAGACACAGGCAGAGGGAGAAGCAGGCTCCACGCAGGGAGTCCGATGTCCGATGTGGGACTCGATCCCGGGACCCCAGGGTCACGCCCTGGGCGGAAGGCCGGGCTAAACCGCTGAGCCACCTGGGCTGATAAAAATGCGTGGGCATTTTAAAACAAGAGACTGACAGTTCTTGGGCAGCCCGGGTGGCTCAGCGGTTTAGTGCCGCCTTCAGCCCAGGGCGTGATCCTGGAGACCTGGGATCGAGTCCCACGTTAGGCTCCCTGCATGGAGCCTGCTTCTCTCTCTCTCTCTCTCTCTCTCTCTCTCTCTCTCTCTCTCTCATGGAGCCTGCTTCTCTCTCTGTCTCTCATGAATAAATAAGTAAAATCTTTAAAAAAATAAATAAAATGCCCAGGCTTTTTTATCACTTATGAAGGCAGTTCCCACTCAAAAATTACTAAAATATTTTCCTATATTGTCTATTAATTCTTTCATAGTTTTGTTATGCTTTATGCATTAAAATATCTGAAAATTATTTTTGTACATTATATAGGTAGGGATTTAGCCGTTTTTCCTGAAATCATTTGTTGAAATCAATTCTTCCTGACGAGAATATTACTTAGTATAATAAATTTCCATGCACACACGGGTCTTTTTTATTATTATTCTGCTGCTTTGTACAATTCATCTCTTCACATACAAATACCAATCTCCTGATTATGGCACTTTTCAGTAATTCGTAAAGCAAATCCTTCATTTATCTTTTTCAAAATTTTCTGGAATGTTATTGCATTCTTTTTGAGGTAAAATTCTTGAACTGTTCATGTTTCATTAAAATAATCCTTTTTTTTTGAGGTTTTAGCTATTAACTAATATTTTGTGGCTAGTATGTAGATGAGTGATTGATTCTATATCTGACCAACTTTCCCTTGAATTTTCTAGGAAAAGTTATCTAAATGTAATCTTTTCTCTATTTATACTTTTCTTTGGATTAATGAATTGCTGGCTTGTCCAGCACAGTGATATGTAACAACAATGATTCTGGCTATCCATGTATTTTTTTCTTAGTTTGTTTTTAGTATGTCATCATTAAATATGGGGTTTACTATTAATTTCCAGTAAATTCTATTTATCAAGGAAGTGTCTTTAATAGTTCTAGCTTACTAAGATTTTTACAGAGAACAGACTTTATTTTTTTTAGAGAGAAGCAAGGTGGGAAGGGGCAAAGGGGGAGAAAGAGGGAGAAACTCTCAAGAAGGTTCCATGCTCAGCTCAGAGCCTGAAGTGGGGCTTGATTTCATGACTCTGGGATCATGACCTGAGCCGAAATCAAGAGTCAGATGGTTAACCAAGTGCCGCACAGAGAATGGATTTTAGACTGCAGTTGTGTGTATGTGTCTGTTTACATTGGCTGGCATATTGAGAACAATTTTGAATAATAGAGATTGGTCATTTGGTCTGTATATTTCTTAAGATGGTGTCTTTTCACTACTACTTAACTAAACATTTTTATTAGGAATGGACGTTGAATTTTATCATATGGCTTTTGGCATCTGTCATGACCTATTGTGTGTGTGCTTTTCTTTGACCTGTTAGGTTGATGGGTTATTTTAGTTGAATTCCAGTTTGTGAACCAACCTTACATTTGGTCATGGTGTAATATTTAAGCATGTAGGTTTCTTTTTGGTAACATTTTTACTTAAAATCAGTAATTGGATATCATCTGTAGTCATCTTTTTCTGTTATCTTTGCCAGAGTTTGATGTTAGAGGTATGATGATTGCCTAAAAGGAACTGAGAATTCTTTTATTCTCTGCACTGAAGTAGTTAAACAGCATAAGCGCTCCCTATTCTTTAAAGGTTTGAAAGAATTCACTCATGAAACCCTGTTCTCCTGAAAATAGCAACAGTATTCAACAAAAGGCCTCAGAACTTATAAAAAGCAAGCAAACAAAAACTCCTCTGAGTAAATCCAAATAAATGAAAGAGTTTAAATTTATATTGAAAACAAAGAAGAGCTTCTATGTTGATCCTGGTCATTTCTTTCTTCCTTTCTCTTCCTCCCACTATTTTTCCGTGGTCAGAGAAGATACTATAGGTAGGCTGAAGCCGATAGTAAAATGTATTGCTGTTCTTTCTTTTCCTCTACTCCAGTTATACTGTAAAGTAAAGAGTGTTGCATCAGTGTGGACAAGTTCTCTGCCATGAAGGAAACCAGGAATGACACTCAACTGAGAAAGCATTAATTTCACTTTGTTGTCATTAACTTCCCAATTTTGTTGGAAAAGTTTTTTCTTTAGAGGTAATAACCAAGCTAACATTCAACTGTAGCCAAATCCCATTTGGAGGGTTTCAAAATGAGTAGGTGAAAAAAATACATAAGCTTAGCATGCCTGTACTTATTTAATATGAAGTGAAAATTATTAGCACAGTAGATATGTGTGTGACATGTGCACACACATAGAACAGGGCTAGCTTTTAATAAATACAAGCCACTTAGCCAAAGACCACCTTTTTACTAACCTATAATTTGCTAATAGTTAATATTGGATAATGTGTACTCTTTGGTAGAGTTATTACCTTTTATAAATGATTATTTCAGACACTTTTGATCACTTTCAAGAATATGACCATAAGCAGGTAATATAACTTAGCAGTATACACCTGTGAACTTTCGAGGACTTGAAAACACTCGTCTTATTTAGAGAGATGCAGGCATTATGTGAATGCCTGCATATTTGAGTATTTTAATCAAGTATCAATCTAAAAAAAATAATTATTGACATACAGTAGGAGTGTGCTCTATAACAACAAAAGACATTGCATGTTTTTAAAAGCCATGCTCACTATCCAAAAGTAAATGGTAAATAAAAATAGCTTTTGATGTAAAACTTCACTATTCTAACTATTCTGACATGATGTGTTAACTGATAAGCTGTTACTACTGTTTGGTTTTTTATTTCCTTACACTTTTTAAGCATGTGTATTACTGTTTAATTTAACCTACTTTGTGTTTCATTAGGTCAGGCCAAGTTTTGTGTCTAATTCCTGTAGGATTTATGTTGTGGCTGCCATTCGCCTTCCCCCCATCTCCTTGCTACTGTGGTTTTCAGTCATGGGCAAAGTTAATAGAATAGGTAACAAAAATCTCTTTATAGTCTGGGACCAAGATTCTAAGTCATCTTCAAAAAAGGATAGCAGAGAATATTAAATGAACTGCCTTGTGGCTGGCTGGCTAATTAGTTTAGAGTCTTTTGAACTAGATGCAATATTTGACACTCTTTAGAATAGTTGAGGAAGAACAGAAAAGGCAGTGGTACCAGGTCCTTCGTAACTGAAAACAAGCCTTTGGACATATGTAGTACATATATTATAGTTTTTTGATCCCTATTCTATAAAAACATCTTAAAATTATGGTAAGACATAAAGTGCGAAATACCATCGTAACCATTTTGAAGTGTACAGTTTTGTAGTGTTGAATGTATTTACATTGTTGTGCAACCAATTCCTTAGGGATTCCTTCCTTCCTTCCTTCTTTTCTTTCTTTTCTTTTTTCTTTTCTTTCCTTTCCTTTCCTTTCCTTTCCTTTCCTTTCCTTTCCTTTTTTTTTCTTTCTCTCTCTCTCTCTCTCTCTCTCTCTCTCTCTTTCTTTCTCTCTTTCTCTCTTTCTTTTCTTTGTTTCCAGGATAAGAGTCTGGAAAGTAAATAACGATAACCGTTTATCTCATAGGGGAAATGTCCTGTATGGTAACTTGGATTTTCTTCCTTTTACCCAGAGATATACTCCCTATGATAGTAATTATCAATATTAAATTATGAGAGTAAACTGAGCACCAATGATCTGCATTAGCTTTCACTTACTACCAGTACTTTTGCTTTGAAAAAAGAAAAAATGTCTATTAAAAATAGGTTGTGAAAAAACGGGTCTTTCAAGTCATTTCAGTAAGGAAGTATTGGGAATTGAGCGAAGAAAAATAACATGAGTTCCCTTTTTTTTTTATATTGATTGATTGATTGATTGATGATAGAGAGAGAGACAGGCTGAGTCACAGGCAGAGGGAGAAGCAGGCTCTATGCCAGGAGCCCAATGCAGGACTCGATCCCGGGACCCCAGGATTCACACCCTGGGCCAAAGGCAGGCACCAAACTGCTGAGCCACCCAGGGATCCCGCATGAGTTCCATTTTGATGGTTACTTAAGTTTTAAAAATCTTTGAAATATTTTCAGAGTGAGGTTTAGAGAATTGTTCTTGGGAGCAGCAGAATAAACACAACCAGGTAATTTTGCTAGAGTGACTTGCCAGGACAGAAATCAGGGACTTAGGTCTCTTCAAGAATATGTTATTATTTCAAGTTGCTTGAGTAAAATCAGCTGTTCTTATGGCATATTTAAATGCTTATAGTATTCATAGCCATTTGTTATGTGGCATTTACTATAATTTCATGATTTCATGTATTCTCTTTAAACTAGAAATGCCTTTGCTTTGATATTGATGGTTTGTTCTTGGCTTTTTAAAATCTTTATGTGGGGCACCTAGTGGCTCAGTTGGCTAAGCATCTGCCTTTGGCTCAAGTCATGATCCCAGAGTCCTGGGATCCGGCTCCCTGCTCAGTGGGGAGCCTGCTTCTCCCTCTGCCCCTCACTGCTCCATGCTCTGTCTCTCAAATAAATAAATAAATCTTAAAAAAAATAAAGATCCTTATCTCCTTTTTCATAAATGTTAAAATCTCGCACATCCTAGGAGATTTAATATTTGTTCCTCCTTCCCATAGTCTTCTTACACCTCCTCATACTGAATATAAGTGTTTTCTTGTAGTTCCCCCATCCAAGAATATTCTGTAGA